TGCCCAATGTCCCTGTGTGTTGATGCTGAGTTTGGTGAACTGCAGTCAGTGGATGTGGCAGTTGGCTGTGCTGTGCTGTGCTTATCAGGACTGCACTGGGCTGGGCTGCATCGGGCTGGGCTGGACTGTGCTAGGCTGTGCTGGGCTCAGCTACACAGGGCTGTGCTGGGCACGGCTGCACTGGAATGTGCTGGGCTTGGCTGCACTGGGCTGCATTGGGCTGGGCTCGCAGGCCCCAACTGGGTGCACTGGCCTTGCTCGTCTTGTTTCTGTGCCAGTCTGCCATCTGCTCAGCTGTGAGGACAGGTGTAACCATACTGGTTCTACCTGGTGTTGCATCCAGTCACTCAATAGGGTCATGATGAGTTTTTCTTTAATGTAAAACCCTTCCAGTCCACGGGAAGCCAGGAGGTTGGATCTTATTGCCTCGTGTTACAAGAGGTTACTGCTGACTCTACAGGTTGGTGGCAGCAACCAGGCCTGTTGATTCTTAGTTCAGGGCCTCCGTGTTGGCCTGTCTTCCTCCTAGTGTACTTAGGCAGAGGATCCTGGAGGGAGAGTGGAAATTGCATGGCCAGTCTGCCTGTTGAATGGAACATATATGCAACTGAGGACTTTTGCTACGTTCGAGCTACTGTGAACAAAAAATATAGACCCTTCAGGTCAGTGTGCCCCAATCCCTGTGGCACCTGGGCTGCATGGGGCACTGATACCTTTAGAACTGTTGGGTGGCACCTTCTGGGTACTGAATAGCAGAAACTCACCAGGACTTGTTGAATCCCCGAAACAAAATTCTGTGTATGAACACAAGAATCCAAGCGCAGCAAAGGGGCCCAGCATAAGAAAGAAGGGTGGAGTTATGATGTAGTGGGCAAAGCCACTACTTGGGTAGCCGGCATCCCATGCAGGTGCCTGTTCAAGTCCCAGCTGCTCCACTTCTCATCCAGCTCCCTGCTAATGTGTTCTGGAAAGCAATGGGGCGGGATGGCCCAAGTCCTTGGGCCCCAGCCTCCAGATGGGAGACCCAGAGGAAACTCTTGGCTCCTGGCTCAGCCCTGATCATTGCAGCCTCTTGGGCGCTGAGCCAGCGGATGGAAGATTCCTTTCTGTGTCTCTGCCTTTTTCTCTGTAATTCTGCCTCTCGAATAAATAAGTCTTTTAAAAAGAGAAAAAAAAAAAATTGAAGCCAACACTAGAGTGCTAGGGAATTCTCTCTAGCTCTTATCTCTACGTCTGTCTGCTGCTCAACGGGCAGGCAGAGGTGAGGACTTGCATTGTAGTTTATACCTGTCCATTTTGGAGAGAAGTCACCAGAGGCTATAGTCTTGTGAGCCCCACTCCCAGTTATTGAAGGGAAGGACTCATTGCTAATGTGTGAATTGGTCCACAGTGATGGGCAGAGGAGGGAGCAGGTTCATTGTGTGATGGATGGTAAACTGGAACCATGACACCGTTACTGTGGGGAGCCTGGGGATACTGCTCGCATCCCTGGTGTGGGGGGCCTGACTTGCATTCAACCACGTTTGGGGTGTTACTCCTCTGGGAGGGGAGAGCGGAGGTGGGGTGCAATAGCAAAACCCAGAAACCCAGCCCTTGTCCCTAGAGAGTTCACAGTCTTGTGGATTTAATTGGCTTAGTCCCCAACTCCCTGCAGAACCCCTGGATGTAGGGAGAGCTGGAGGGCCTCACTTGTGTCCCGCTGTGCCAGTTGTGGTGGAGACAGGCTCAACTGTCCGATCGCTGCACAGCTGTGTTCCCTGAGTCTGAGTCTGACTCACATCAGTTGAGCAGCACCTGTGCTCCTGAGGGCTGGTGTCTGAACTGGCCGTGGGTGGGGGCCGGAGCGTGGCTGATAGGAACTCTGTCCTGGGAGCCTCGTCTTTCAGCTCTATGGCGGCCCATGGGGGACATCTGAACAGCTTCTCAATGGAACCCATTTTATTAACTCCCGAGCAGTATCCAGTTGGAAATAACTTTCTCTGTGCTGTCCAAGGGCTCATAAAGAGCTGAGTTTAGAAATCACTCACTGCCTTGTGACTAATAAATTATCAGCATCTAAGAATAGCCATCACGTGGTGGGGAGGAGGGAGCACTGGGCAGATATCAGAGCTGTACGATGGGCCACAGAGGGCCCGAGCATCGCCATTGCAGCTGGAGTCAGCGTTCCCCAGTATCTGTGACTGCCAGTCATTTCTGCCTCGCGCCTTTGACAGTCAGCAGTCAAGGGGTCGGAGAGCAGGATGGAGGCTGAGTTAGACTCCCACTTTGAGGCACCAGGGAACGAAGAGTAGCTGGCAGACAGCAAGGTAGAGGAGGGGCCCCAGTTCTCGTATGCTGGGGCAGCTGCCTGGATGGACCATCACAAGTCACACCTGCTCGTGACCCAGGGCTGGGGAGACTTGGCTGCTTCTACTGAACACTAAACTGTGTGTTTACAAAATGCCTGCTTTGAAGTTGATAACGTTCCTACAAGCCAATCTTCTGTCGTTAACGCTTGCTTTGGAGACATGGGTTGTTAGGTCTGTTTCCCAGGGCCAGAGCTGGGAGGGGCTACCCAATGGCCAGGCGGCCGGCCTGTGGTACCACCTCCTTTGTTCACACCCTGGTGTTGTTGCTTAGCAGCAGTGTGAGTCTGGCCAGCATCCTGGATGCTTTTTAACGGCAGCTCCGTTATTCATAAAATGACGACAAAAATAGGAATCCTTCAGTAGGGATGCCTGGAGAGGAACTACGGTATTAATAAGACCGGATGACATTTACGAAGTCCGTAAGAAGTGGCAGGTACTATTTCTGAGTGTCTTGTTGGTGAGCAGATGGTAATGCCTATTGAACCGTACATTGTTATAAAGATGCATCATTAGTAGCAGATCCCATGAGTAAATCACTTGGCACAGGGCCTGGCGGATTATCTGAGTGTTTGAAAGAATTAGTTGTGTCGTTGTTATGTTTGTTAGGCCCTTGTCGTATCCTGCTTCTTTGTACAGCTATTCATTGATTCATCTTGGTGTTTGTTACCCAGCAAGTCTGAAAGTGTGTACTTCCCCATACCTTCACTCAAATCCCCCCAAATTCATTTTTTAATAACACAAACACTTGTTACAATTAACTTAATGAGATATTTCTGAGCACATAGGTTGATCCTTTATTAATATCTCTTCCCCCACCTCCCAGTTCTCACATAGATCGAGTGAAATTTCAAAATCAGGAAGGGAATGTCCATGCAATGACTTATGTCTCTCCCAGGCACTATTCAAACGTTATCCTGCTTCATGGCAATGTGCTGTCATCTCTCACGGTGCGTAGAGCCTGGACTTGAACCTGGGTGCTCTGACGTGGCGTGTGGACATCCTTGAACCTGGGCGCTCTGATGTGTGTGAGCACCCTTGAACCTGGGTGCTCTGGTGTGGTGTCTGAGCATCCTGGGGAGCAGCTTAGCTGCTAAGTGAGACACTCACCCCGTGCTGTGTAACATTTCACATGTGTGCATATAAGCACACTGGTCGTTCCTTGGGACGCTCTGTTGGGCAGATAACATTGGTGGGCATTGATCTCCATGAAGACACAGTGTGCCAGCTTCTTGGTCAGTCAGAGGTTTTTTGTTCCCAGTATTCTTCCTCATAATTGAAAGCATGCTAATGCGGTAGCCTCATTTGTCTCGAGGATTCTTACATGTGAAGTGCCGGCCTCATGCAGAAGCTGTCTTACAGAAGAGCTTTGGTTGTTCTGTCGTTGAGTGTGATGGCTGTGGTTTGCAAATGGGCTCTGTGTGACCCCAAAGGTTTGTGTGCTGGAAGTCTGACCACCAGCATGATGGTGTGGCTGGCGGTGTCTGCCGGGTGACCGAGTCATGTGGGCAGGCTCTAACGCCGTCTGTTGGTGGGCCACTTCCTGTGAGAATGGCTTTTTTCATTTGGGTCCCTTCTTCTGGATGTTTCCTTTCTGTTCCTGTGCTGCCCCCAGGGTCCTCACTGCCCCCAGAGGCCCAGTGAGTGGACTTGCTGGAAACTGGACTTTCAGCCTTCAGAACTACCAGCTCAGTAGCCTGTTTCATGCAGTACCCAGCCTCAGGTGTGTGTCACAGGGAGGTGACACGGGCAGACCCCATGGTGCTGGCTCAGAGGCCAGCGGCACCTCAGGCGTGTGTCACAGGGAGGTGACATGGGCAGTCCCCGTGCTGGCTCGGAGGCCAGTGGCACCTCAGGTGTGTGTCACAGGGAGGTGACACGGGCAGACCCCATGGTGCTGGCTCAGAGCCTAGACCTTCTGCAGGCTGCTCATGCTGAGCCAGTTCTGCTCCCAGCTCACTCCACAGTTTTCACTCGGAGGCCATTAAGTCCCAGGGGTTCTTGTGAGCCCATCTCCCAGGTTGCGGAGCCCAGATCCAGAGACGGGGCTTGGGGCAGAGCCTGCCGACAGCCTCTGCAATGACTGGATGGCGCCGATGGCCGGGGATGGGAGGGTAGGGGTGTGGAGCACGGGGAGTGGTGCAGTGGGGCGGGGCTCTCTGTGTCAGCGGGCTTGGATTCTGTCATGGACAGTAGAGCTTTTGCAGAATGTTTTAGTTCAGGAGGGAAATAATCTGGACTTGGCCGTCACAGACTGCCGCCCGTGGAGGGAACTCGGGGCTGAGCTCAGGGCGAGGGGGTGTCACAAGGTGTGACTGCTGCTCTTCGGTTCTTTGTGCTGTTGTCTTCCCCAGTTTGAAGCCACAGTGAAGTGTTGGGGTGTGGGGAGGTGGTGCGTCTGGGGGGCTGAGGGCTGAGAGAGGGAGGCAGAGCTCAGCAGGCGGACTAACACCCTCTCCCGCTGGGGACCTGGGAGGGGCCCAGCTGCCAGGCTTGCTTGTCTGATGCCACCTGGGGTCTTCCACTCCAGGGGCTGTGTGATGTCATCCATTCGGATTCTGTTGGGGTTCTGGAAGGACAGTCGAGGTCGCAGGTCTCTGGGCGGCTGTCCACTGGGTGAGAGCTTGCTGACGTGCCCTCTTCTCTCCTGTTCAGGACACGGAGATTCTAAACACCGCCATCCTGACCGGCAAGCCAGTCTCAGTGCCCGTCAAGGTCGTGGCTGTCCAGGAGGACGGCTCCGTGGTGCACGTGTCGGAGTCTGTGGAGTGCAGGTCGGCTGACGAGGATGTCGTCAAGGTAGGGCAGGCCGTGTGCAGCCTGGGCACCTCTGCCCCGGGCCTTGTCCTGTCTGCACATCCCCGGGCGGGGAGGCTGGAGCGAGCCTGACCTCATTGAGGACAGTGGCTGACCACAGGCTCCCAGGACCTGGGAGGTTGTAGCCCCCTGGGTCCCTGACCCTTCATCTCAACCTGAAATTATGATCTGTGCTGCTCTTTTGTCTGCCCCGCCTCCCCTCCCCGCCCCCCCAGGTCTCCCACCCATTGTCTTCCCTCTTAGGGCAAAACTTTCCTAACTTCTGCAATTCACATACTGCACCTGCCCCGGCCGGAGCTCCCTGGGCCCGATGATGTTGTGGACTCTGTATTTTCCTGAAGTGCTTTGTTTTCTTGGAAATGACCGGATAGCTAGTAGTTGGGGTTTGGTGCCAATAAATGCAGGGTTTCCACTTGAAAACCAATGTAGCCTTGTTCGTAAGACAATAAAACCCATCTGGTTGATGTGGTGGGTTTTGTGAATGGACATTACAATAGATGACATGAGCAGGTTTTAGAAAGCTCCCCATGCTCCACTGGACATGGGTGTAGCCAGGAGATGGCTCACAAAAGTTTGGGGATTTGCCATGGGCGTTTCTGTGGCATTCTTCGCTGTGTTAGCCACATGGCTGGCTCTGAACTCTGGTTTACTTCCACTCTCTTCCTAGGTGCTCTTGCCCGTGTTGTCTGAGCCCGTTGGGGGCCATTTGCTCTGGAGCTGAGATCCCGGGGAGACAGGCCTTAGGTCTTCAGGACAACCCTGTCCCTTCAGTGTGAACTGGTCATTCAGTTCACGAATTATAGAAAAACACCTTCTAAGGGCGGCTGCACCACATCCATGGTGTTTGGATGCTACCTGGATCACGGGCTCCGGGATGTGCCTCACACACAGAAAGCCTCTAGGGCTTTCCCCATGGCAGAGAGCTTGATTCCTCTTGCTGTAACCTCTGGGAGGCTGGGTCTTCATCCAGAGGCTGTCTAATAGAGAAAAAATGGGGTATTTGTGGGGCCTGATTAAAAAAGGGAAGAAGGCACAGGAAGCTGAGGCTTGGGATCGCCGGTCCTGGGGCCTAGAACGCCAATTCTCGCTGGAGATGACAGGTGAGCTCCTTGGGTGGAGCACGCAGCCTGCCCTGGGAGGGTGGAGTTGGGTCCTGGGAATTCAAGGCCGTGGGACTGAGCAGGACAGGGACCAAGGCCTAGGGGATGACCCGAGGGACGTGACATAGCAGTAGGGTGTTGTTTCAAGTTTCCTTGGACAGTGCGTGTTTGTAAGCACCCCAGGAAGGAGGCATGGATGAGGGCATGTGGAGGTGACACCTGGGTGCCAGTGCCACTGTGGGCTCAAGCAGACAAGTCATGGTGTGGCTGTCTCAGCCCTTCCTGGCTTCCTGAGAGCTGCTGTGGAGCCCTGCAGAGAAGCACCTTCTGCTCTGCAGAGATCTCTACTCAGGAGAGGCAAGTCCAAACTCAAGATCCAGTGAGTGCGTCTCATTTGGTTGTTTCCGTCTCACATTCTTGGACACATTTGCTGCCCATTCTGGCGAATGTAGTGTTGGTAGATAGTCATATCTCACTCAGCTGTCACTTTTGCATCTTCGTGAAAGTGGGGCATCTTGTAGCCAATCATTACACCATCTTCAGAGGAACAAAGCAGAGCCCACCAGTCAGCAACCTCAGGGCTGCCCTCAGGATTCCAGACCTCGTTAGAGAGCAGGGCCTGTGTCGGTCGAGGTGATGTAATGAGCGGCTCTGGGCTGTCCTGACTTCAGAGTCAGTGTCTGCAGAACTTGTTGGTCCGACTCCCAAAATGAATGGAGTTGTCTTCAGAGCCATACAGTGGCCGTGACATCATCCCAGGGGCATTCACAGCCAAGGACACAGTCACTGGCGCACTCCAGGGGGACGCCCTCTGCTCAAGGAGTTGTCACTCAGCCGACCCTGTCACAGCACAGAACACACCGTGTGATGATCTCCCAGGAGACCCTTGCAGGGGTCAGCAAAGACCTTCATGTATCGGAAGCTGTGACGCTTTCAGTGGGGGAAAGTGTGAAGTTAGGAAGATGTGCAAAGCGTGGCCATGCACGTAGATTAGCTTATTGGATCTGGGATTGTATGGCATTTGAGGATGCAGATGATGGCTTGGAAAAACTAGGATTCTAGCTGAACCTGGCAAGATTCAAGGGGATCCATGTCAAGTGTTAAACTGACTAGTACCCGCTGATCTGAGAGATGGGGCAATGGGGAAGGATTCCCTTCCATTGGTTCACTCCCAGGATTGGACCAGGCTGAGGCGAGGAGCCCAGAACTCCACCTGAGTCTTCCACGAGAGTGTCAGGTGCACAGCTTACCTGAGGTGTCCACAGATGCTCCACGGGGTACATATTACCTACAGGCTGGATCAGGAGCAGAGCTGGGACTGGAACCCAGGCCCTCGGCTACAGGACACAGGGGTCTCAAACAGTGAGCTAGGTAGTACACAGCAAAACTCCCTGGACAAAAAGCTGAAGCTCCGCCGTAAACAGCAGCAGTGGTGTGTGTGAGAAGAACCCTGGGACATTTTTTTAAACCGATAGTGAGATCTGACAGATCAGTATGGGGAGAGGCTGGCACAGCAGAAGCAACTTCTGCAGGCATGAATTCACGTGTGATGAGAGCAGTGGTCACGCAAGGCATGCTGCAGACCAGATCTTGCTTAAAGGTGTGTGTGTGTGGTCTGCATAGTTTTACACTATTATTTAATTTATGGCTATTGTGTAAAAAAAGCTGGCAGTTTCACATGGAAATCGGCAGAGACCCTGGCCTACGTTGCTTCCTGCACACCTTACCTGGAGTTGGTCGAAGCTGCCCCTTCCTGGCAGCCCATGCGCCCGCCCCCGGCCTCCGCCCCTCTGTCTTGTCACCCGTGGAGGGCTGAGGACATTGGTCCCTGCTCCTCGCTCCTGTGCTGCTGGGGTTCTGACAACAGGCTTCGCAAATGTGTGAGATGTGACTTACACCATGGGCTCTGGAAAAGGGAAGCCGCAAATGATAGATTTCACCCTGTCACTCTGCCGGTCGCTAGGAGAACCCTGGGAAATTGGATTGTGTTCTGCTGAAGCGTGTCCGGGCATCCAAGGGCTCTTGAAATGGAATCACTAGAGAGCCGACTGGAGGGAGTGCGACTGCTCAGGCTGGCAGAGGGAGGAAAAGGCCCGGACGAGGTGAGGACGGAGGCCCGAGAGCTGCTTTCAAGTCCCACAAGGGCCATCGTGCAGGAGATGGAGTAGATGTGCTTTTTGTATTCCGAGAGTGGAAGTTAAAAGGCCCCATTTTTAGTTCAGGCTAAAGAAAAAGCCCACAGAGGACTGAGTCCTTTGTTTAGGCTTCAGATGGTATCCGTTTGCATCCTGCCCCTCTCTTCGCTGCTATTTGACCTTGAACAAATCACTAAACATCTTCACACTCGGATTCCTTATCTGTGATGTGGGCAGGAGATGAGACGATGGGAAGGGCATCTACGATGGGTAGAGTTTTGTCAGCACATCAATGAGCGAGGCAGAGCCGACCTTGGTGACACCATCGTAACAGCCACCATCATGGTAATCCGCATGAAGCCTTAAGAGAACACGCACGTCTTTCCAAGTTCAGAAGACAACAGCTCAAACGACATGTTTTTCCCCCTCTATTTAAGCTGTGGATAAATTCCTGGAGTAGCAGAGGGCAAAGTTGGGTTTAAAAGGGTATCTGGTGGGAAGGGGGCTGAAGCCATTCTCCCTCCGAGTGCCTGCTGGCCTGGGCCCTGTTGGATCCTGCTCGCCTCCCTCTGCGGAGCCAGGATGCTTTTCTTAATTTTCCTTTTTTGCCCTAAGCCTCTTTAAAGATCTTTGGGGGGAAGAAGATAAAGTGTGGTTTCCATGTGGTAACTGACTTACCTTCCCCGAGTCTGTCTTTGTGATGGAAGGTTTCCAATCTCCATGCATCTGTAATTGCGCTGTTTATCCACGGAAGCTGGTCGCACAGTGTCGGTAGGGGGTAAACACTTGCACACTCAGAGAGAAGCGAATGTACACTCCTGTGGGTCTCGAAGATCGCACCCACCATCCTTCTGCCACACTAAGTCTCCAGTCGCAGGCTGGCAGCTGGGTTCGCAGTAATGAGATGCTAAATGGCTCAGGAAGGGCACTGGCACCTGAAAGCCTTCCCCCCAATACTCCCTGTGAGACTCCTGGTTCCAAATATGGCCTCACAGGGAACCCATAAGTCGGGAACATTCTATGTGCTCTGGGACTGCTGAGCAGTGTGTAGGGAGCCGGTCACTGGGCCAGGCCTGCTGGGCAAGACCACCACAGTCTTCAGTGTGGCAGCATTTCACATGTTGGCGGGCAGTGCCTACCGGGGAGTGTGCTTAAGTCACTAGATGTGCAGAGAAGCCGAGGTGGAAGGTGGATGTATCCTGAACGACCCGAGAGACGCCATTGCCAAGCTAGACTACAGTACTGCTCAGCTCCAAAGACGTGGCAGCTGTGGGAGCGAAAGGTCGGGGCAGGTGTGCAGTTCCTGTGTCAGTGCGCACTGCTTGCTTGCTTTTAAAGAGAACCTTCATTTATCTATTTGCAGGAAAGAGAGGAAGGAGACGCAGAAAGAGGTCTTCCATCCACTGCTTCACTGGGAAGGGCCTTAACAGCCATAGGTGAAGGCTGAAGCCAGGAAGCTGGACTTCCAGCTGGCCCTAGCAGGTGGGCTGCAGGGATCCAGGCACCAGGCTGTCTTCTGACGCCTTCCTGGTAGCTGGCAGAGCAGCTCCAGGGTGTGTGCTGGCTTGGCAAGCAGTGCCTTCACGTGCTGTGCCACAGTGCCAGCTCCTGTAGTTACTGCTGCTTTAAGGCCTAGAGCGCTAGATCCACCGCCTTTGAGCGAGTCTTGATTTTGCTTGGAAGACCATAGAGAGCAACAACAACAACCCAAAAAACAAACTTAAGGTTATTTTTTCACCTTTAGCAA